TGGTGTCCTTAAAAGAAGAGATTTGGAAACAGACGTGTATAGAGGGAAGACAATGTGAAGAGACAGGGAGAAAACACCTTCTACAATCCAAGAAGGCCTGGAGCAGATCCTTCCCTCACAGCCTTCAGAAGGAACCAACCCTGCCATCACCTTGATCCTGGACTTTTGGCCTCCAGAACTGTGAGACAATACCTTTCTGCTGTTGAAGCCATCCAGTCTGTGATACTTTGTGACGGCAGCCCTGGCAAATAATATACCCCCAAGAGAAAAAGGAGAAGAACACAGGACACTGACACCCCTGGAGGGTGGGCTGGGGTTGCACACCCAGGAAGTGGCCCCCACACACCCACAGCCCACCCAGTCCTGAAGTCCCTGGCCTGGATGCTTCCGACACCCAGCCTCTGGAGACGCAGAAGGAGGGAGCTCACTGAAGGCTTTAGACAAGAAATGAATCTGCTGGTATTTGTATTTCAGAAAGACTCACATGACTATCACAGTGTGGAGATTAGATGAGGTGAGGAGGTTGCGTCCACATGCGCAACGAAGAGGCCCAGGGAAGATGCCAGAGCTTCAGGAGGCATCACTGCCATGATGCACTGAGCGACATGATATGGAGCGGGGCTCGTGCCCCTGGTGGAGGTGGTGCTGGTCACTGGGATGGGCCTGGGGGGCGCACCTCAGGTTGGCACTGTCTGAGGGATGGCCACACACCTGCCCAGGGTGCCTCGGCAGCAGGAGATCAGGCCTGGAGCTCGGAGGAGAGGTCCGGGATGCAGATGATCTGGGCATTGCTGGTGTCTGGGTGCAGGTGGACCAAGTGCATGAGGGTGGGCAGGAGCTGCTTCTCCCAGAAACAGACCCGGAGACAAGCATTTGGGAGGTGATGGGGCAGGCACAGACAGGGACTGGGGAAATGAGACAGGGAAGGAGGAAGGCAAAGGGCATTCAGGGGCAACTGGGACTCAGTCCCACGGAGGGCCCTTTGAGAGGCTGGGGAGTCAGGCCTCACAATAGTTCCCCCAAAGGGTAAGGAGGCCCATCCTGAAGGGCTGGGGGCTGTTTCTAGGGTTGAAAGTCTCTGGTACTTCTGGTCTGTGCATGCTCAGGCCTGATCAGGTGCCTATGGCCACAGAATGGCCTCGGGAAGAGATCCAGGCAGCTGGATATGCTGCAGGAATGTGGCTGTTGGCAGGTGACCTTCAGGGCTGGCCAGGATCTGGGCAGGGCACTGATGGCTTCTGTTATGGTTGCTGCCGACAGTTGTGCCCATCTTCCAATGGGGAGTGGGGAACCCATCCTCTTCCCTCATTACTTAAGGTGGATGGGACTCTGGGCAGGCACTGGGTAAAGGCTGGGGGCTGAGTCATAGAGCTGGCTTGTGGCCAGGCAGCAGGGCTGGCAGTCCAGGAGGCCAGGGCACAGGCTAAAAGAGCCCTTTCTAGTATAAGTGAAGGCAGTGGAAGCAGGGAACAAAGTTGTTTAATGTGCAAATCATTAAGAAAAATAATGATTTCACTCCAGGGTGTTCAGAGGGCCCTTAAGCATCTGCTAATTAGCTTGCAGCAGCAGCCAGCTGAGGTGGGAGCAGGGCGAGACTGGCCGTGGGCTGGGTCCTCCACACCCTCTTCCCTCCTTTATGCTCTGACCTTCCCCCCCCCCTCCCACGTTCTTACTTTTATACCTGTGAGATATAGGGAGCCTGTACTGGCCACACTCCCAGGTGGTCAGGGCCCACAAGGTTCACCTCAAGGCCTCTTCTCCCTCCAGGGCATCTAGCCTCAGGGAGATGGTAAGTTGGTAATTCAAAGGGAGTTGCTGCCCTGTCCTGTTTTAACTGACCCCAGGTTAGCTTATGGGGGAGGATTTGCTTTTCAGGTTATAGACATTTCTGGGAGTGGGTTGCTACTGGGTGCATGTGAGAGGAGGGCAAGATGTGTGGGGTTTGTAGGGCGTGGGTGTGGGTGGCAGTGAGGGTAGAACGGGTGTCTCCAACAGGTACAGACACGATTGGGTGTCAGCACCAGCGGGGGGCAGGGATATGGATACTGACACATGGCCACGTGTGGGCATAGATCGGTATGAAGGTGTGGGTATCAGTGGCAGCAACTGGGTGTCAGGATGTCAACAGATGAAATAATACTGGCTAAGACTTTATAGCACTTACAGGTACCTGTCCCTGTTCTTTGTGTTTTACGTAAAGTTACTCATTTAATTTTCACATCAACCCCATAAAATGTATCTTATTAGTGTCCCCACTTTTTAAGGGAAGGGAACAGAGGCACAAAGAGGGCAAGTAGCTGCCCAAGGTCATCCAGCTAGTGAGTGGCAGGGCCAGGACCTGAGCCCAGGCTGTCTGGTTTGGGTCCACGCTCTCAGTCCTTCCCTGCACCAGGAGTACAGTGCAGGGAGTGAAGCTGGGAGTGCGTGTGCGTTGGGGGGACAGGAGGGGCACTGTGGACCGCAGGCAGGAAGTGGAGGTCGATGTGAATAGGTAGAGCAGTATGAATGGCGCTGTTGAAGACGGAGGCCTGGGAAAGTACAGGAAGAGGCGCAGAGGTGGCCTGATCCAGGTTGAGGCTGGGCCCTGGTTCCCAACCTTTACTGGAGAATCAGAATCACCTGGGAGGCCTATTAAACCACAGGTCATTCCTGACTCTGGGGTTCTGGATTGGAGCTCAAGCACCGCATTTCCCTGGTGAGGCTAAGTCTGCCAGTCTGGGGACCAGACTTTGGGAACACTAGAGTAGAGCACTGAGCACGGGTGATTATAAGGAACAGGAATTGCTGTTCGGAGGAAAGGACAGAGGTGGATAGAGTGAGAGTAGAATAGAGAGTGACTTTAGAAGTGTGGAATAGGTTACAGCTAGAGGAAGGTGACTGTTGGAGTGACCATGGGCATGAGTGTCATTTAGTTAAGCAGGAGTGTGAGTTCAGCTGGCCCTCCATATTGGCAGGTTCAGCCAACCACTGATTGAAAATATTTGGGTAAAGAACAGTGCAATAATAAAAAATAATACAAATAAAAAAATACAGTATAGCAACTGTTTACCTAGCATTTACATTGTATTAGGTATGATAAGTAACCTAGAAATGATTTAAAGTATATGGGAGGATGTGCATAGGCTATATGCAAATACTGCACTATTTTATATCAGGGACTTGAACAAACTTGGATCTTGGTGTACTTGGGGGTGCTGGAACCAATCCTTCATGGATACTGAGGTATGATGTCTGAGAGGACATCAGAGCCCTGGTTTTGAGAGCATGGCAAAGCTCCCCACAGGAGCCTCTTTTCTCTTGAGGGCTCTGGCGCCCAGTGTTGACCTCCCAGGTGGTGGCTATTAGGTGTGACTAGCCTGGCATGTCTGGTTGTCCTCTCTGTACTGGTGGTCTGTAGTGAAGGCCAAGAGGCTCTTTAGGGAGTTGAATGCAAACTTAAAGGGGAGTCTATGATAGTGGCCTTGGAAGCCCCTGGGGGCCCCTCCAGGTGACTCCTGTGCTAGATTCTGTGGGGTTCTTAGAATGCAAAGATGGTTGAGACAACAGGCAGGGGAGTCTATGATAGTGGCCTTGGAAGCCCCTGGGGGCCCCTCCAGGTGACTCCTGTGCTGGATTCTGTGGGGTTCTTAGAATGCAAAGATGGTTGAGACAACAGGCATCTCTGCCCTTGGGGTCCCCTAGTGCAGGAGGTTTCTCTATGTTGATTAATTTTCAACTATAAATTACTGATCCCAAACAGGTGACTGCCTGGGCTGGAGGCCCCTGGGAAGGAGAACTTGAGGTAGGGATTAGGGCTGAAACCTGTCCAGAAAGGATTTCCTTTTCTTCCTCAGTCTTAGAGCCTGGCATGGGTTATTGCTCTGCTATAAGTTAGAGGGTTAGAGGAGGTGCTTAGGGAGACCTTCCAACCAGAGGAAGAGCTCTTTGGGCTGCAGCAAGGCACATTCAGCTGGAAGCTACTGGGGGACTGAGGGTTGGGCAACAGGCTCCAGGAAAGATGGTTCCATTCTGAGTGCCTCTGCTGTCCTGAGGCTGTCCCAAGGGGCTGACCTGGAGCCTTAACTGAGTCATGTGTTATGGGTTGAACTGTGATTGCCCCCCCTCAAAGAGATAGGTTAAAATTCTCACCCCCAGTGCCTCAAAATGTGACCTTATTGGAAACAGAGTCTTTAAAGAGGTAATCGAGTTAAAATGAGGTCATTAGGGTTGACACCAAACCAATATGACTAGTGCCTTTACAAAACTGGGAAATTTGGACACAGGAGAAAGACACGTAGAAAAGAAGGACAAGACGAAGACACAGGGAGAAGATCGCCATTGACAAGCCAAGGAACTCCTGAGGCTACCAGAAGCTAGGAGAGGGGTGTGGAACAGATTCTCCCTTACAGCCCTCAGAAGCCACCAACCCTGTCAACACCTTGGTTTTGGACTTCTAGCCTCCAGACTGGGAGACAGTAATTTTCTGTTGTTTAAGCCACCCAGTGTGTGGTACTTTGTCACAGTAGTCCTGGGAATCTAGTACACCATGATTCACGGCAGGATCCAAACCAGTCTTATTCACTGGATAGGGCATTTTCTGTTGGTTGAGGGACTGGGCAGGGGACAGCTTTGGGAGGTGAAGGAGGTGACCTGGTGACTCCAGGAGAGAGCAGTGTAGTCTGAAGCCCAGCAGGTGATGTCTAGTGGCCAGTGACCCATGGAGATTTCTCTGGAAGGAGGCACTGAGTCTGTCTTCTGGAGGAGGAACCTGCTGTGGCAAAGGCAGGGGACCTTCCCTCCGGGGTTGGGGCCTGAGGTCAGAGTGCCCTCCTCTCTGTCTAGGCCCAACAAAGAGAGCTGGCAGCTTGCACAACAAGCTCCCACTGTCTGCAGGGGTTTAAATCCTCCTTTCTCAGGGATGTGACGCAGGAAGGGCAAACAGGGACACATCTTTGGCTACAAGAACTCCAAGTTCAGAAGCCGGGCATGAATCTCCAGAGAGTGCCAAATGACCGCAAAAATTCTTTTCTTAATCAATTGTATTTTATTATCAGTTATAAATATTTTCCATTTGTCCCCTATTTACAGTTGCAAAATAGTTTATGATATTACACCCTCATCCACCATTCAGCATCTTTCTATAAACTCCATGAAAATTGAATAGGAAATAAAAAGCTCTTTTTGGGGGCTCATGAACCTGGTTCCCCCAGACTCCAAACAACCCCACACAGACAGCAGGCAACGTTTCGGCAGGTGCTACACAGTAGCAAAGGGGTGGGCCGGCAGTGGCTTGGGCGGGGTCAGGACTCCAGGCTCCTCAGGACGTTGGTGATGCTCCAGTGCTGGCCCGAGCACTTCTGCAGCACCAGCTGGAAGCCGAACTCCATGTCGCTGTTCTCCTGCAGCTCCAGGCAGCGCTTGGACTTGCGGTTCTGGATGGAGCCTCCCTAGGAGCCAGGGTGGAGAGTAGGGTCAGAGGAGGAGAGGAAATTCGGGGAGCCTGGGGGAACCTCAGGCCTGGCGGCTGGTGGGGCTGGAGTTACCTGTGTGTCCAGACGCTTGGGGACCAGCATTCCCTCAAAACTGCAAGCTCCCCCATCTTTGATCTCCTCCCGAGAAGCCTGGAAATGTGCCTCAGTTTTCTTCACAGCACTCTCATTCTTTGCCAGGACAGAGACCTCCCTTGCCAGGACAGAGACCTCCCTTACCAGGCCAGGCTGTGGCATGCTGGTTTGTTACTATAACTCCTACCCCGAGGACTGGACCCTGCTCCCCACAGCCATCAGCTGGCCTTTACAGAGACCTCCCTTACCAGGCCAGGCTGTGGCATGCTGGTTTGTTACTATAACTCCTACCCTGAGGACTGGACCCTGCTCCCCACAGCCATCAGCTGGCCTTTCTCTGAAAAGCCTCGTTCCTCGGGATGACTCCATGATCATCCTTCATTTGAGCATCACCAGAGGCCTGGGACCTCCTGCTCCTAGGGTCCATCCCCCAGCTGGCCTCTGCACTTATCAGTGTGGGCCTCAACCAAACCCAGCCTCCTGGGTACTGTTTAGTAGGCCAATAGGCTCCCTAAACCCTGGACAAGCATTTTTTGCTCCATGCTACTGATGTTCCAGAATGTTCTGTAGCCATGCACACTTAATTTATGTCCCAAAGCCCCTTGAAGGAAGTGATGTTCTGCTTCCCAAAGCAGTCCTACAGTAGCAAAGAGGAAACCCCCATATTTTGTTTTTAGTGATATCCTTGCAGGGATTGGACCATCTGGGGCTGCTGGTTGTGAGCCTGGGGAATTAGCCTGGACTGTTTGAGCATCTCTGAGTTGTCACCAAGGTTGTGCCAAACTGGACTTTGGCCTCCCAAGTAGGTAGAATTGCTTGGGTGCATGGAGGTCCTTATAAGTGGGCCCCTTGTAGCTTAATGGCACTTGAGCCTCTGGTTGAATTTATCTCTTCCCTAGAACCTACTCCTCCTCTATTTCCCATCTTGGTAGGAACCAAGTATTTGTGTGGGAAACCTGGTCATTTTCATTTATTCATCCTTCTCCTAAGCATCCAATTAGGCACCAAGTCGTGCCACTTCCACCTCCCTCATGTCTTGTGACTATGCCCTCATCCCTATCCATCTTTCCTCCCCTGGACAATCAGACTCCTAATGGGCCTCCCTTCCAACCTCCAGAGGCAGGGAGTGGGGCTCTTTCCAAAATGCACGTCTGGTCTGCAGGACAAAGTGCAAGCTCCTCAGCGCAGCCCTGAAGGCCGTCACGGCATGGGACTGCCGTTCTCTCTCGCCTCCCCTCTGGCCCTTCCCACAGCTCCACACCTTCTGCCGCAGCCATACCAAACTGCTTGTAGTTTTCTGAATCTATTCTGCATTACCTCTGGGGTTCTGGACTTTGAACGAGCTGTGCCCTCTGTCTGGGTCCTTCTCCATGCTTCCGTAGCAGGCTAAGCCACTGCCATGTTTCAAAGCCCAGCTCTTGCTCCATTTCCTCCACCTTCTCCACCTCCCACCCCCACCTCCGCCAGTCCCCACAGGTGGCTTGGCACTCTCCATCTGGTGCCTTCTCCAGCTCACAGTGCACTGTGAGGAAGGGAGATGGCAAACCTCTTCTGTAAGGAAGTCATCCCGAGTCTGCCACAACCATCCCTATGTCAGCAACTGACATGTCAAGAGAACGTCAAGATGTTCAGTTCTTACAACCTCAGAAACTGGCAGTATTTACTACAGTTGAACACACACACCCAGTGACCCAACAATTCTAACAAAAAGGTGCGCACCAAAGACATGCACTTGAATGCTTTCTGAAACATGATTTGTAAGAGCCCCAGCATGAAAACAAACCAGACATCCATCAAGAGTAGAATGGATAAATAACTGTGGTATATTCATAAAATGAAGTACTATATGGCAATGAAAACAAACTAGAGCTACACTCAAGGATAACTCTCATAAACACAATGCTGAACACAAAAAGACAGGACATCCATCAAGAGTAGAATGGATAAATAACTGTGGTATATTCATAAAATGAAGTACTATACGGCAATGAAAACAAACTAGAGCTACACTCAAGGATAACTCTCATAAACACAATGCTGAACACAAAAAGACAGACAAAATTACATACATAACTATCTATATAAACTTCCCAAACAGGCAACATAAAACTGTACTGTTAAAGTCAGGATGTGGTTACCTTTGGGGAGGAGGGAGTGGGGTAGTGATTGGCAGGAGCCAAGAGGGGGCTCCTGGGGTGCTGGCAGTGTGCTATTTCCTGACCCGGGTGGTGGTTGCTTAGGTGTTTGCTTTGTTTTAAATCACTGAGTTGAACATGCATGTTTTGTGCACATTTCTGGATATATGTGTGTTATTCTTCAACTAAAAAAAAATCCAGCTCCCTCAGAAAGGACTTTGAGAAGCAAATGAAGGAAGCAGGGGATGAGAAGCTGGTGGCAGAGGGTCGAGGGCTGTGCGTACATGTGTTGGGGAGGTATGGAATTCTCCATTTCCGTTGTATGGGAGACGGCCCAGCAGATCACACAACCCCCTTCAGAAGTGGTCAAATGAATAAAGCAGGCTCCCTCCCCCTGCACCCCACACCCCAGCACCTCCCCTGGGGAGAGCAGTGGCTCACTGCACCCAACAGCAGGGAGACCACGGAACAAAGCGGAAACCAAGATAGCGAGCTCCCCTGGGGACCACAGGTGCAGCCAGAGGGAAACCCAGAATGACTGGCTGCTGGACAAGGGCCTGGGAAGGCCCCAGAATCTCCATGTTGGAGGAGACCTTGAGGGCCAACCTCTCACTCTCACCTGCAGGCTGCACACCTCTGTACTGCAGCTTGCTTGGCACCTGCAGGGGCCAGGAGCTCAGCCCTCCTGAACAAGCTCATTCACCCCCACAAGCTGCCCACCCTTGGGGCATTCTCCTCTCACTGAACTAAAGCCCTTGCCTTGGGTGTCCACCAAGGGGTTGCAGACTTCCCCTCGGGCTTCCACACTGAGTCTGCTGCTTCTCCTCTCATTCCCTTCTAACAGGAGAAGGAGAGGCCCACATCTCCCCAGTTCTACGCGTTTCCAGGTTTAACTTTCCCAGTTCCTTGGACAGTTTTGCATAACTTTTTCTCTGTGGCTGCCCTCCTTTGGACAAGCTTTTGTGTTGCTCAGGACTGACCACAGAGCCGAGAGCCACCGCCTCACTTACACGGGACAATGGGCTTCAACATAGCCAAGGAATCACACCTTCAGTGGCCACACATGCTCCTGAGCCACGCTAGGATGGTGTAGAGGGCAGCTGAAGTTTGTCCTCTCAGAAGCTGCGGTCCACTTTGAGTCTCCATCCTGCCCCTCCAAGGCTGGACGTTTGGATGCAGTGCCATCTCTGTGACGCTTGCTCCCAGCAAGGTCAGCCCATCGCTCTCCCGCCCAGGTTTCTACAGCTTCTGTGAGAAACTTTGAGGCCCCTGAGCCTGAGCACATCTGCTGCCTGCACCCAGGCTGGGCCATGTCATGGGTGCTTCTTTAAGCAGACCTGCTGCCAGCCTCCCCAGCCCCTCCAACAGCCCTGCTGGCCCAGTGATGTGTCCTACCCCACCACGCTGGCAGCAGAGCTTAGGCAGGGCGGACTGAAACCAGCCCAGCTCTCTGAGTCACAAGGCCTGCTGGCGTTTCAGACGGGAGGTAGAAAGTGAAGGCCGAAGTGGGAGGCTGAGGACGCGGCCTCTCTGGTTGTCAGCTGTGTGGCCTTGGACAAGCTTCTCCGCCCCTCTGGTTTCATTGTCTGTGGGGTCAGACGATAATCTCTGTCCTTGTCATTGGGAGGCTGAGCAGAAGGACTGATGGGAAATGCCTTTATCAGCTACGAAACAGCAAGCAGACGTGAGGCTGTTCACAGCATCAGGGCGGGGGCTCCGGCAAACGTGCTCAACAAACAGAAAGGGGGGCCGGACCGAGAGCCCCGCCACTCTGCTGCAGATTCTGGCTGCTCAGCATATCCTCAGGCCAGGCCTCGCTAACTGTGAGGCTGCTGCACCAAAGACTGGAGAAACTTGTTCAGAACAGAAGAGGCCGCAGCCCCCTCCTTTCCTGCCAGCCACTGAGGCGCACTCTAAGCCCCATGTGCCTGTCTTCTATGGGGGCACCTTGCCAAGCCCAGAGAGGGAGGTGGGAGCTCTGGGAAGTCAAGTGTCCTTTAGGGACTCACAGCTGACATTTCCCAGGCCCTGCTCCGGCCCAAAGCATGCCCTCAGCACCCTAGAGACAGGAAGTGTGGTGACCCGGGGGTCATGAACAGCCAGTGTGGCCTCCTGGAAGAATGTGGAAGAAATGGGTGGAGGCCAAGAGCGAGGTTGGGGGAGGCGGGTGGAAGGGACACCACCTCGGTGAAGATATCTGGGCCTGTCAGGGA